CGGGTTCACCTCAGAGATGCGGTGCGACGACTCTGCAACGACGGTCGGCGGATCCCTTGGGATCCAGAGAAGGGTCCGGGGAAAGATTGGCTTGCGGGCTTCCGTCGTAGGCACCCACGGGTCGCGGAGCGCTCGACCCGCATCTACGAGGCAAACAGGATCACCGAAGACGAGGAGCCTCGCATGGTGCAGTTCTACGAGAGATGGGCAGCTCTCCTCGACGAGTTCAAACCGGAGGCCAACCACGTGCACAACACGGACGAGACAGGTGAAGATCCGTTCGTAGACGAGTCTAGGTCTAGACTCGTCTAGACTAGTGTAGATAGCCTACAGCACTAAGTAGATAATCCCAAGGAAACGACTAAGGTGGCTAGTAGCGGGAGCGGTGGGGGCTCCCTCGGCTGTATCTCGGGGTGGAATGCTCGGCGTGCCACGCTGTGGTGCTCAAACGAGAGCTACGGTTTCGCGGAGCAATTCAAAAAAAGAACCAAGGGGCTCCGTGGATTCTATGGGGAGATACCCCCCTTTAAAAAAAAGTGGCCTTTAATACCCGGGTGGCCTTTAATACCTGCCGCTACTCTATGTTTTATTTTTTTTTTGACACAACGAATCCATCTCTATCTAAGAAAAGAGTCCAAGACAGATAAGCAATGGATACATAGCGTCAGTGAAGGCTACCTGTGTTTCCATGATTTCCCGAGCAGCATGCAGCGACATCTCCCCCGTGGGTAACAGGGTCAACATAACTATTTTCGTTTTCTGTGTTCACGAAAGAAGCAAAATGCAGACTTACCAAGAAATCGTCTGTTGTTGTTGTCTTCACATTAAAAATTGTTCCGTTCTCTCGGCCCAGACCTTTTCCGTCGGTACTCTAACACTTGACGGGGTCGATTCCCGTGGTCACAGGCTAACCTACACAAAAAAGGTGAACGAAAACAAAAACAAAAATGGACGCAAAGGGTCCATCTGCTGTGGTGCAGGCCAAATACTGTAAATTCGAATTACTTCGCATTGTTCAACTGACGGAAACGCCGGTACAGTAGGTCGTACTCCGGAGTACGTATACACAAGCACCTGTCGACCATATTCTGCTGTAGGGTATAGACTACGTACAAATGGGAAGGATGCGCATTTGAAAGGTACTAAGTGTACCATTTTGGAGTTTTGTTCCGGTTCGCATGAAACCGAAATATTTCATCCGGTCGTCTTTATATGAAACCTTGACGAGCGGCAAGCGAGCACGAAAATTGAAAGCGAGCGGCTGCATGGCAGCTGCATAGAACAACATATGGCACCATGACAGTACTAGCATGCCCAGCAATGGGTTCTTCTTCGCTCAGAACGAGGATTCGTCCTTTCCGAGATCAGGATGTACAGGTGAGGTCGAACGATACTCTGTGTGACACCTGTAGACTAGGCTAGTCTAGACGCTGTCATTTGCGTTGTTTCAACAGACAACCTGCCCGGATTTCTCTATCCTTCCAGGTGTATCCCCCAACAGGAGCAGGTTCCCATGCTGTCGAAATATCTGCTGGGCTGTGCATGTGATTGAGGTGGCTGTGCACTTTGCTCATTGTCGTTGGACCCACCTACTTGTGCTGATGTATTTACAAACGTTTTGCGTTGTGCACGTTCGGTACAAAATTCTTTCCAAACAACACAAAAAGGTCGCGCAGGAGTCCCCACCTCCGCCAACATTCACCGTTCCGGCTTTCCGTCCTCGGAAGCACCGTGGCGGAGGAAGCTCGCTCCTGAAAGACGCCTACCCATCGGGCTTCTGCAGGCCCCCGCAGAATCGCCCACTACCGATAACAACAACGACAACAGCAACCGATACCAGAAGCACAAGAAGAAAAATGGTTTGTTTGAGTGGACCACCTCGTCAAGGCCTTCTGCACGAATCAAAGCAAGTCGGAGTACCCCCGTGTGGAGTGACCTCAAGCAGACGGATCCTGAAAAGCACCCGGGTGGTTATCGGAGCCCCCGACGTAGTCGACACCGTCGGCAGTGAGCTCGTGCAGTTTGGTCCAGGTTTTTCCATGGGCCCTGCGGAACACTACTCGCCGAGAAGGTGCACCCTTACACCCGACCGCCCAAGGCCTCGAACACCAACAACTCCGATATCCCCCTCGCGAATGACCATCGACGGGTCCACCCTCTTGGGACGAAGCAGTTTACTGGTGGCGCCTAGAGCTGTCGACCGTCAGAACCAACGGCCAGGGTTGAAGATAAGACCGCCAAGTGAAGATAATATCTACTACACGTGCGATATGGAGGGGCATAAGGGGGTTCGTCCCACTACGCCAGATAGGAAGCAAGCATCCCCGGGACCGGAACCGTGGCCATTCCCCTGTGACAAGCTTACCGGGCGCTCTTCTCGGCCTAGCACGACGGCCCAGGTACAGGAAACAGCTTCTTGGAATAGAGGAGACCCTGGTGATGATGTATCTGCGGTTCCACATGCGAGCGATTGTGGGCATGACGGGCGGACTTTGGGCCGTGATGACGAAGCGGCGACGGCAGCGGCGGGGGCAGACCAGCAGACCCAAAGCGCATCGCAGCTGTCGACACCGCGTGTGCATCACGTTGACAACGAGAACAACACGTCGGGACATGGTGCCGTGAATACCCCTGACGCAAGCGGTCAAACTCCCACAGAAAAACTTAAGCTTAGGATAGAGGACTGCCGGAACGAGAGGGTTGGCAGAAGCCAGGAGGAAGTCGAGCTACGCGACGAAAACGAACTCCTGGATGAAGGGAGAATAGGAGAAGCATGGGCGGTTGATGGAACAGATGACCCCTCTGTTTGGAGTGGCGACGGCAGTGGGGGCATACTTGCATTTGTCACAACGAATGAAAACTCGGCGGTCTGTAGCTCGACAATTAGGAATGACACCTCCTCAGAGCACGTGTCGACACAGCGGAGCTGCTCGACTCTAGATACCGGGCTTTATCGCGGAATTCTATCCAAG